ATAATGTAACTTTTAAAATATATATATAAATATTAATATTATTAATTCAATTAAAAAAATTAATATATTATTTATTCAAGTTGCACACTAATTTTAGGAGTCGGATATCAAATAAATCGTTAAAAAACTTTAATCAAATTTAAGCTCATATTAAATTTATCTGAATTGAATGTTTACTTATATTTAATCAAGTCAAAAACAAAATAAATTACGATACGTCTTGTCTTATCTACAAAACTAATGTATAGAATCAAGATAATAATCTCAACACAATGCTACTGAACTGGGTTCCTTCATTTTGTTTCCCTTTCCCGCCAAACATCAAACCAGAAATCGCTCCCTTTTCTGAGTCTCAACTCAATTTCACTGAGTTTGTGCGGTATACTCACACTGGAGATGCTGTAGATGTTACCTTTATTATGAAGGAATTAAAGGTATCTAATCTAGATGCAGAGAGTAGATTTTACTGCACTTGTACTTGCAACACAGCTACATGAAGCCAATTCCTCTGAACCTGTACAGACAGCTACAACTGCAGGGACTGAAGCACAAGAGACATTTAGGGCAAATGTTTCTGGACATCCATCTGACCACACCAGAATATGGTCTGACCTCTCAGGTAACTATTCACCATCAACATTTTGATGCTGTGTTAATTCAAAACCTCGTGCATTACGATTCTTCTCAGAAAGTGCTGCAAGGAACGGTAATGGGGTTGAAGAAAGGCCGGCTAAAAGACAGCAAAACTTAAATGATGGTGACCAGAGGGATATTCAAAGGATTAGCATGATGCAGATTACAAAAGATGCACCGATTAGAGAAAATGTTCCTGCTGCTCCTAGTTGCAAACTCCTTTTATTGGATGTACCATGCTCGTATTTTTGCCTCTATGTATGTGCATATCACATTAGTGTTGATGTCAGTCTGCAAGCATACCTGTATTTTGGAGAATGCTTTAGTGAACAGGGTATAAATCCAAATTTGTTAGCAGTCATTTACAGACCTAACTAAATCTTCATCATGGTAAATTTCATCACAAGCAATTTTGTTTTAGTCTTGTACTTTGATGTTTTTCCTCTTCTTATAAACTCTACCATATGAATCTCTAATTAGCGTAGGTTTTGATTGTTTTAACTGAGTTTTCTTGACTGTCTATAGTACCCACAAACAAATAGAAAAGGACCATGAGGTTGGGGCACAAGGTTAATCAAAAGACTAGTTATTTTTACTTTTATATTGTTTCATTCACTTCTGCAGTAATCGAAAATCCCCCCATTTGTTCTGCTCAGATAGGAGCCAGATTAATGTGCATGGGTTATCACAGCGTCATCCAAGTAATTGGGTAGATGCAAATGTGGAGGAGGATGGGGATGGTGACAACGTGCTATGTGTTCAGCCAACACCACCATATTATGAAGAACAATAACAATCAGTTAATGACATAGCTCTTCCTCCTATTGCTTGGGGTTGCCTGTCCGATTTCTCCAATGTAAGTGTATGTTTCATTTCTAGTCATCCTTCATTCTCATTAAGCTTTCTGTCCTTGAACTCATTCAATGGATTTTCCTTTTTATCATTTAAGCATAGAAGGATCTATAATCTGGTAGCCTTCGAAACCAATTTATTAGAAATATGTTATTTTAATATTTGAATGTTTGTATGTTTGCGGGGAGTGAAATCAATCACAATTCATTTGGTTTGTTAGTCTTCATGGTAGCAATAAGTGTGTCAAACGATCAGGATCTGGAGAATACAATTTTTAACTATGTAAAAAAATCTGGCCCATTTTTTTACCTGTTTGGTTTTGTCTGTTTAAGATTAAAATAGAGTTTCTGGTTTCGTAGTGATGAGTTTTCAATTCATTATTAATGACACTTTTATAAAGTAGACACCGAGTACTAATGTCTATTATATTGTGCTTAGAACCTTCATTAACATTAGAATTCATGTGGTGTAGCTTATGAACCTATTCTTCAAATTTAGTGCAGGATTCAGATTTTCATCGTGTTTTTGCTCGAGAATAGGAAAATTCTCCCCATATTTACTCGAGAAAAAACAAAATAGACATCTGATCACATAATCTGAAAACCAATTATGTGCTCTTGGATTTAGTTTCCATCCACCGAACAATGTCTACATTGGACCTAACATTATAATTGGCATGTTTACATTGGACCTAACATAATCAATGTTCTAGCTTTATCAGAAAAAGAAAAGGGATAGCATGTAGTACGTATTAATTGGTAAATGAGGTTATATTATAGCATTGGTGAGTGATTCTACAATGGACCCTGGGTTGTTGTCTACTAAATTTTTGCTGTACTTAGAGCTATTGTTGTTTATCATAAATGTGAATTAGAAATCTCAGTTCTAGAGTTTTGGTATTTAAAGTTTTAGTTCAATTAGGTACGTAAAGTTGATTTATGGATTCAAATTTTACTTTTTTTTACTTGGTACTTGTGGTAAATGATTTAGTTGAACCAAATTAAACAATGAAATTAAATTTGTGACCGTAAAAATTTAATATAGTATCTAAATGGACCAAGAATGCTTAGGGAGTTAGGGAAGTACCGAGTTCAAGTACTAAATGTATGTTTACCCTTGTACATGAGCTATTGTTTGTTTGTTAAAAAAATGAAGTTTCACGAGCACCTTGGACTGGTGATGACTGATGAGTACACTATTTATATATTTAAAATTTTAAAATATAATAAATTATTATTTGATACATTAATCATAAAGGATTTAAAATAAAAGGGGTTAAACAAAATTAATAGCATAAAGACTTAAACCGAATGAACCGATAACGTAAAATACCATTTACCTTTAATTTTTTCGGTGACCAAAGTCGGTCAAACTGATAACAAAAGGAACTATCGACATAGTTTACCCTTTTTTTCATTCGAATTGCTTCTTTCGTGGATAGGAGTGGATATGCTTATAAATATCAATTTGATAAGAGGTTATTGATTTTTTTTGGTACATAGAGGTTATTGATTTTAATTTATAGATTTTTATCTTTTTTTATGTTATGTAGTTTATATCTTTAGAGTTTTAATTTTAAAAGTTATTATATGTATACTTGTATTTAAATTTATAATCTTTAAAATTTATAATAGTAATTCAAAAAAATTATAATAGTAATAATAATATATAAATTGAATTAAAGTTAAATTGATTAAATTATAAATTTTCAACTTTTAAGAAGTTCGTACATTAGCGATGTGAATTCATGATTACCACATGGATTTCTTTAAAATCAAATTGAATTGAAAATGTTGATATTCATATTTAAGAAAAGGGTGGAAATTGAGGTTATTTAATGAAGGGTAAACTAAATGGATAATCCCTTATGTTTTTGGTCTGATCGATTTTGATTATCGGTTTTAAAAAAAATTGTTTTGGTTCTTTAAGTTATCGATCCATTCGATTTTAATTCCTCGACTGTTAACTTTCATTAACCTACTAACAAAAGTCTGAGTTGACAATTAAAAAAAATCCATATGTTTTCAATTTAAAAGTAAAAGAAATACATGTGTCTTGTTCGTTTGCTTCAATGGACAAAAACCGAATAGGCAGATAATGTAAGGGACTAAAATCATTTTCCTTTTGACTGGTGACCAAAATGGATGGAACTGAAAACATAAGGGATCATTAGTATAATTTATTTTTAATGAGGAATTTAGTAGCAGAAGGGAAGAAGAAAGGGTTTCGGTTTACAGATTGGAAAATGGAATTGGATTGGTTGGTGCTCACCCTAAACACTACTTGTCTCTCTAAATATCAAAATTATATTAATTGAATAAAATTAGATAAGCATGAATCGAGCGATTCTGGTGATTAAGGAATTATTATTATTCTTTAAAGTTTCGGGTTTGAGCATAAAGAATATCAAAATTATAAACGTTTAATGTTAAATAGTTGAGAGTTATCTTTAGATAAATAATTAATAAAAATTGATAATAATGATAATAATAGGGTAACAAAAATGAATTTAATAGATGAAATTAAAATTTATTCATGAACAGCCGTTGCACTGTCATTTATACTGGTAGCCATGTCGGTTACAAGTGCCAACCCAGCTCTTTTGTCCTTTCCCATTTTCAATTTTAATATGAAAAAGGCTTAATACCTAAATAAGTGGCCAAACTATGTCTTTTATGCTAAATAAGTGCCTACAATTTTTTTACCCATCCAGGTGCCTAACGTTACAAACGTTACCCTTTTAGTTGCCCAAGTCGTCAATACCGTTAGTTTTCCCTGTTAAGTACCACATATCAACACCTGATAATTTTAAAATTTATTTTTATAAAAAAATATTATTATGTTTATAAAAAACCCTATCTTTTCTTATTTATAAAACAACCCAAAATACTAAATCCTAACCTTAATCCACCGTCGGTGCCTTCTCTGACCACCACCGTCATCGTCGACATAGTCTTTGACATCATCCTAGTTACACGCCGTCATAGTTTTCGTCGATTAACGGTCAAAATCACATGGGATCACGATTTTCATCCTAAGTTTTGTGAGATTTAAAAAGTCGATTTGTGGTCGATTGGTCATCAGCTGGTCACGATTTCATAGGGGTTATGGTCATCGAGGGAGCTTCTTCGACGATAAAGGGCGGCGTTCGAAGTGGATTTAGGGGTTGAAATGAAAGTTTTCAAAGTTTAGGGGTTATTTTGAATTTTATATTTTTTTCTTTTTTAAAAATATATATTTTTATTTTTTAAAACTTATATAAAAATTTTAAATTTGCCAGGTGTTGACATGTCTCACTTAACGGGAAAACTAACGACGTTGACGACCTGAACACCTAAAAGGGTAACATTTGTAATGTTAATCACCCGAATGAAAAAAAAAACGTAGGCACTTATTTGGTACAGAAGGGATAGTTTGGGCACTTATTTGAGAATTAAGCCTATTAAATAATAAAAACATATGAAATTTAATATAAACCCACCAAAAATCAAAGCAGCAGTGAAGAAAGCTAACAAAACAACCATAGCTGCCATTGCTCATAGCAGTAGCCGAGAAAGAAAATCAGAGAGAGAGGGATCTTCAAATTTGGTAATGGCCGCATTCAATTGTAAGCTTGTTTTGATCTGCGCGACGCTCGTGGCGGCGGCGGCGATAGCCGTCGATGCGAGTGGGGACCGCCATCAACACTCCACCCTGGGGTGGTTACCCACCGGATCTCCATGCGAGGGATCCATGGCCGAATGCTTTGCCGGGGAAGAATTCGAGCTGGATTCGGAGATCAGCCGGCGCATATTAGCGTCCGCCAGGTACATCAGCTACGGCGCGCTGCAGAGAAACACCGTGCCTTGCTCCCGGCGCGGCGCTTCCTACTACAATTGCCGGCCTGGAGCTCAGGCGAACCCTTACAACCGTGGCTGCAGCCGTATTACGAGGTGCAGGCGCTGAATGAGCGTTTGGTTTTTACACTCGAAGAAGACGAAAGAGTTAGATCGGTGGGTAGTGAAATCCGGTAACGGCTCTTTCTTGTTATTGATTAAAATATTATTATTATCTTAATTTAATTTTAACTTTGCACATCTCTTTTGCTCACAAGATCTCTGACCTACTATTTATTTTGCCTTAATTTTCAGTTTAGCCCTAAACTATAACCATTTACTCACTTTTGTGCTTGAACTCATCATTTTTCATAATTCACCTGCACACGACCTTAAAATTAGGTCGATAATATCAACCAATATAAATGTGATACATTCATGTCATATATTCTTTTTTTAAAAAATTTTAAGGTGAAATTTAGGCGAAATGTGTCACGCTTTACCTCGATATACTTATCAAAATAAATTTTAATTATTTTTGTATGATATATTTAAAGCTTTTTTGTTAAAATTCGAAGTAAATCAAATCATATTTTCGTTATGTTAGGATAAGATCAGATTAAGTACTAAACCTTTTGTTTTGTTTTTCTGTGTTAAAGGGTAATTTTGAAATGTATTCATAGTATAAGAACTGTGATGTGTAATTAACAAAAGAACAAGTATATGTTTGTTTATTTCTTTTCTTGGGTGACTAATAATTGGGTTTGTGAATTTTGAGGGATTTGGCTTATTATTAGTTAAAAGAAATTTGGGTGGGGGAATCGATTTATTATATTTTTGGTTGGTTTGTGAAGGGTAGATACATTTGAGTTGTCGATGGTTAGAGATAGGATGTATTTGTTTCGGTTCGGTTTTTACTAAAATATAAATCAAACAATAGAATTGCCCGTCCAACTCAGTTGGTAGAGTGCAAGACTCTTAACCTTGTGGTCGTGGGATTGAGAGTCCCACGGTGGGCAATTCATAATTCTGATTGCCGGAAGTCTTCTACGGAAGCTGCTCTCAATTTGGCGTTGGGGGTAGCCTACTACCTTATCTCACCCCATTATATCCCATTATATATGAGAATAGGGTCAGCTAATTTTTAAATCAAACAATACTTTGCAGATTTTTAAAAATGGGAATCGAAATCAAAACAGAATGACATAAAAATCACAATTTTCGATTATTGACATTTTTTGCTGTTCATTATTTTTCAAATCAATCATACAAAAAAACAAATTTAAAACTTAAATCGAGTGTAAATATATAAATTTAAATTTTCAAAAAAGCATTATTAGTTTTAATATTTTATTTTATTTAAAATTATCTTATAATAAATTCAAAATGAATGTGTTTTAGATACTTATTATCTTTTATTTTTTAAATTTGGTTTAATTCGGTTCAAGCGATTTCCATATGAAAAAATTGAAAACTAAAGGAATTACATATTTATTTTTTAAACCAAACCGAAACTAAACCGTAAATTAAAAAACCAGAATCGAAACGAATAATCTGATTCGAACCAATTTTTCAATTTTTTCGGTTTCGACGTAGTAATTCTAATTTTTCAAGGGGACGACTGTCCCTACCGTTCCTCCTCGATCCAACCCTTGATATGGACTAATTGTCCAATAAATCAAATATCATTAATTATAAAGGAATTGAGAAAAAAAACATTTGTTTGTTTATAAATCTCTTTTGAATTGAAGATGTTTTGCAAGGATTAATGGTTTATTTTGTGATCAATCTTTGATTATTTTATAGTCTACGTGTTGGGTGATATAGGGTTAGTTGATTTATATTGGTTCAATGGCTAATTTCAGTGATTATTCTGATTCATAGCACAACTGCAATGGATGGTTCATTGAACTTAAATTCATTCACATGGTGCAGATGATGGACTGAATTGTTCAAATGCAAAATATAGAGGTTTCTTTGGAGGTGAAATCAAAAGGGTACCTTTTTTTTTAGGAAAAAAATGTAGGTGTCTTTATTTGGGTAGTTCTATATTACGGTATTCTTAATATACGGCTTAGGAAAAACATTATCGGAAATATTAATATTTTTTTAATATTTTCGGTAAAAAAATTATCTGAAATATTATTTTTTTTACCTAAAACATTAATATTTTTTAATATTTCCGGTAAATTGTCCAATATTAACATTTTCGGTAGAAAAAATAATATTTTAGGTAACGCTTTACCGGATATGTTAAATATTTCTGATAAAATTTCCAATAATAATATTTCTAATAAAAATAATAATTTTTTAATAATTTTTTACCAAATATATTAAAAAAAATAATAGTATTTTTAGTAATATATTTCTTTAACACTATATTAAGACGTTGACACTTAGACTTTTACCCTTTCTTTACATGGCAGTTGAATGATTAAATGGCTCTTTTAAATAAACGATGGGTCCATCAGTCTCATTGCCTAAACGTTAGGCAATGATCAAATCAAATGCCATTTCAGTCCATCAGTGATGACCGTACATGCAATAATTAGTGATCAGTTAAATTTTAGGGTTAATTATATTAATTTAATAAAATATGAGACATAATTACTTTCATTTTTATTTAATTAAAATATAATTATTTTTTTTATTTAATTAAGATGTAATTATTATAGGTTAATTGTTATTACTAATCAACAAAATATGTGGCGTAATAGTTGATATAATCACGCATTTAGTCTATATTATTTATATATTCTCTTAATTTAGTTATACTTTTAAATAAATTATAATATAAAATATATATTTTTAAATTAAAATAAAATATTTTAAATTAATTAATAATAAAATATATTTAACAATTTAATAATAAAAATATTTTTAAGTTAATATATATAAAATATTATGAATTTAAATATTTATACACTAAAATACAAAATATATACACCACGTTTTTCTACTTTAGACCAATCAATGACCTTGTCTTAATGGTCGGATACATGTTTAGTTTTCTGAGTGACCAAGTTTTAAATCATTCTTGCCCTAATTTGTTTTCCTTTGTTTTCTTTCAACTAGAGGGAACACTTTTATTGGTGAAAATAAATATATTAAATTAAAATAAGGTTAGTCCTCAAATCGAATGGTGACATGTGACATCATATGATTAGAGGAATAAATTTATTTTAATTTATTAAAAGTATGACTAAATTGAGAGATTATATAAATAACTGAGACTATATGTGTGATTATATCAAAATATTTAACTGTTGTTAACGGCAGTTAACTCGGGTGACCACATCTTAATTAAATAAAAACGAAAGTGATCATATCTTATGTTTTTCAAAATCAATGACCAAAAGTGGACAAAACACAAACATGAGTGATCATATGTGTAGTTAACCCTAAGTTTTATTAGGTGTAATACAAAAATAAATGTCTAAATTATACCTAAAGTTACTTTTTGGTTTTTAAATTTTTTTTCGTTAAAAAATAGATGTTTAACGTTTTCTTCGTTGTACTTTTAGATGCTTACCGTTAAAAAAATTTAAGTGACACATGTAATGTTTAATTTTTTTAAAATATTATTTAAAATTATATATTTTTTAAAATTTTTAAACATGTGTCACTTAATGTCTTTTTTAACAGTAGACACCTAAAAACGTTAGGTACTTATTTTTAGCGAAAAAAAATCTTTAAACACTAAAAATTAACCTTGAGTATAAGTTAGATACTTATTTTTACATTAAACCATTTTATTATTAATCCTTGTATAGCACATATATTAAAAATATTATTATATATTTCCCACGCTCTATTTCCATTCGTTCCAACCATTGGGCGAACTAACACCTTATGACTCTCATCTTCATCTTCATCTTCATCGACTCCAATTCTAAGATTTGTTAAGGATGTCATTTCATAAATCAATTATATTATTATTCTCGATATTTCACATCAAATTTTGTTGAACATTCTCTTAAATCGAATTAATCCCTTTTTATAATTGAGAACAATCTCCTCAAGTGATCATAAATGGAATAGATTGATTCAATTTGTACTTCTATTTTAGGTAGTGACAGATCTAAAAATATTTTTTAAGGTGGACATCCATCAATATTCGTACTTCAATTTTAAGACACGAATCTATAGTTTATCTCTATATATCATCATATTAAAATCAATTTTCATAAAGAACAAACAAATATTGTGAGAGAATCCCCTTGATGAGTCCCACGAGATGGTTTGAAGGATGCCGTCATAGCATTAAGGATATGCATGGGTCGGGTTAGGTCAAGCTTCCAATCAATCCGTCCTAATCTAAAAATTATACACATTCCACTCGACTTGAATTCAATCGAAAAGTTATACACGTTCTACTTGATCTGAACCCGACCCATCCTTTTGATAAAATACGAATACGATCTAATCTGACTCAAAATAATATATTTTATAAAAAAAATATTATTTTCATTTAATAAAAAATAGAGATTTAATTGATTTTATGTAAATCTTTGAAAAGACCGATATCCATTAGTGTATCACTAATAATAGATTAATTTAATTTGTCATATGTTTGTTCCGAGTCTATTTTAATTTTAATTCTCTCAGCTCACTCCGTTGAATATATCATTCCTTGATAAATTTTAAAATATTTTTAAGATGTATATATATATTAACAATATAAAAGTTTTGTATGAAATGAATACAAATAAAATTTAAGTTGAACACTATCAATAAAATAAATAATAAATTAAATAAAATTTAAATTTTAAAATAAACACTTATCCCCTCTAAATTACTCATGGACCCACTACTACTTCTTGGATAATAATAATAACATAAGGAATATTTCTCTTTGGGGGGTTCTCTAAAATCCATCACGACTGTAAAGGTTCAAGACAATTCACGATCACCTTTGTCATTGTATTATAAAGAACAATGCATAAATTAAAATAAACTGTTTAATTAAAATCGGTTGCCACGGCAAAAATTTTAAGGGTTAATTGCATGAATGATCACTTATGTTTGTGTTTTGTCCACTTTTGGTCACTGATTTTAAAATACATAAGATATGATCATTTTTCGTTTTTATTTAAATAAGATACAATAACTTTCGTTTTTATTTAATTGAGATATGTTCACCATGGGTTTATTGTCGTTAACATTTAACAGATTAAGCGACGTGGCAGTTAAATAGTTTGGAATAATCAGACATTTGTTTCCTGTTATTTACATAATCTATCAATTTAATCATTTTT